AATTTTTGAATAAGTAGTCTCAGAAATAAGAAATTAAGGATTATATAATAATTTATCGTCAAAAGGTATAGATTTTCCCCCTAAAAAGTTCAGGTGGTAATTTTTTTTTTTGCACTGTGTGTTTTTATATACGAACGTATTAAAAAAGAATGGTCTTTATGGGAAAAAGATATGATATTATTTACGAAGGCAGATATTCTAAAGAAAAACCAAAAGACAAGAGAATAGGTAAGAATATATTTTTTCTCCTCAGCCCCTTTTTATTATATGAACAAACCTGAAACCATCTTCCTAAATATTTCTGGACATCAAGTTCTGGTACAGGTTGGACAGCGGATCCAAGAAAAGTATCAATGAGAAAAGCCGATGTCAAATTCAATGCAAAAAAGCATACACAAATAATGTTTGTGAACATTTTGAACTTCTTGCTCTCTGCAATTACGATATAAAATGACTTCCTATATCTTCTATTGGACTAATATATACTCTTTGGTTCTTACATAAATCGTTAGTATACAGCCCATATGTACGAACACGTGAAATTCCTCCTTATCTCTGAAATCATGTTGGTCATGTGCAAGGGACTTAAATAAAGGAACGATGGAGTGGTTGGTTTGATTACATTGATAACAAAGAGGGCGTATTTTGAGAAGTTCAAATTGTTCTTTTAAATCAGTGTTTGCACAAAATTCCTAATTATTAATTGTACACTACTCACACTTTATTTCTAAGATGTCACAAAAGAATTTTTGATTTTCAGTTTTTGAAGAAAATTATTTAAAGTTTAAAAATTTCTCTTTATTTTCCCTCAAAACTTATTTTTGTCCGTCCGTGAAGACTTTTGGATCAAGGAATTAAACATGTTTTCAATTCATTAAAATTGTACAAATGCAGACTTGTTTTAAAAAATACATTTCGTATACTTCAAAATGCTTTAATTCTAAAAGAAATTTGACATTTTATAGCATAAATTTTACATATTCATAGATAGATAAGATAATTTACAAGAAAAAATGACTTATATAACAAAACCGCTATACCCATATCATCTGAATAAAGAGGTTATCTCTTCCGGTTGATATAATATGCAAGAGCATGATCTACGACGAAAATTGTTCTTAATCGAGCAGGCTATTGACAAACTAGTGGATGAAACAAGGTTATCATCAGTCTTCTTTAAAATCACCATTTTGCATTTTTCTGGGTGGATTCAATTATCATGTTAGCAAATATCTAGTCCATCATCTAGTCCAACGCTGACTGGCGTTTTTTTTTTCACGCCAATTGTGAGGCCGTTATTTACACAATGGATTGTCTGCGGATTTTTTCTGTTTACTTAATCATTGCAAGGAGTACACGGTGAGAGAGTTAGTGGTGGACACGTATGCTTACTCTTACAAGGCAACTGATCCCACCTCTGATGTTTTAGAGGCCCGTGTTCACTTGGCTCCAGATTTGTAATGTAACAATGGACTTCTGCGCTTGATTATTGTTCGTTTTTCCATATTTCATGCAATAATTTTTATAGAACATGTACATACATTCGACAATGACATAGATCAATTAAAATTATTCTTCCTTCTTCTTGTTATCTCACAAATATCTTATGTATGTATGTAGCGGTAGATCATTTAAAAATTAAGAAAAGAACATCAATATGGTTGTACTCAAAGAAAATTTAAGAAGTACGATTCTAAGATATTTAATGACAAGTAAATTTAAACATACATGATTTTATAATAGAAAAATTAATATATCAAAATGAAATATTTTTAAAGTCTCATAACATTCGCTGTACATTGCTAGAATGCATGACCTAACAAAGTTCGTTGTTTCAGATCTAGAATTAAAACAAATGAAATCAGAAAACCAATCTATAAAAAATCCATACAAAAAATACATAAACACTGAACATCTCGTCCAACAATAATGTAGTCCCTCTGCTAGTTTTGTCCAGTTTGCGGTCGAAATTATAACACCTTTCATTTGCAAAGGAATCAACTTCGAACGATCGTCCTTTGCAGAAAGCTTTCCCGTTGTTATATAAATCCTTAATAACAACGCCTTTCAGTATGGCTGACCCACAAGCTTCAAACCAATTGTCACAGAATTCCTCACACACTGTCAGCCTTTCAAACATGTAAAATCTGTTTTGGTAGGGGGCGCATATATAACACATAAGGTAGTTCGTATATCTTTGGCATGCTGTAGAAGCACCGATTAATGGTTTCACTTTCCCAAAAGTAGCATCGATTTCCTCCTGCATACAGCATGAATTTAACTGAAACCAAGTACAATTCCTTAAATTTGACTGAGGTTTCGGTCCCCTGTTGCCGAAAAAGGAGCAAAATTGAAAATTTTTTTATGCATCAATTAACTGAAAAATTACAATGGTAACGACAACCGAGGGAAACAAACGTCTGTCAAGCGCCATGTTTTTTTCTGTTTACTCCATATGAACACAGTGAGTTACGATCAATATTTAGCGCTGCCTCAGAATTAACAGAAAAGGCTCCAGTACTGTACGGAGTAAGAAATAATCGATACCTTTAACAAAATCGATGCCTTAAATAAATTATTCTGTAGATGAAAAACTATTGTTAAAGAAATATACAAATAAAAACTAATCTAATGACATACACAAAAAAAAATTATGTGATTATCGGTAAAAATCAGCTGGGCTTCTGAATTGGTAAAGTTATCAAAAATAAATAAAAAAAAAACTAATGTTGAAATTGACTTTTCCGTTTTGAAAAGAATCTAAATGAACAGGAAAGATGATCAATTAAAGATAAATAATTTTTTACGACAATAACTTGGAAGTATCACGCATAAATATTTGTATAATACACTAATCAAATAATTCAAAGTATATTTTCATTTTAAATAATACATTTGTATCTCAATATTTCAAAATTTATCAAAAAAATTTTGCAAGAATTTTGATGACATAAACTACATACACTCATTACACTGCGTTATTAAAATACATTTATGTACAAATAAACTATGCATTTTAAAATGTTCCTTAAGTTAAATTCATATAGGTATTGGACATGTCACTGTAGGCTTGCACAGCATCATAACAGAAAACCAACTGCTCCTAAAATGAAATTAATATAAAATAATTAAAATTAGTGAACCGTATTTCGATCATGGGAAAAGATTAATAATACCAAAAGAATATTTTTTTAAAAAAAAAAACAATTCAATTAACCCCCGGGGCCCAAATGAAGTAACTCATTAAATTTGGAAGACTACAACATACCAGACTGGGCACAATCTGAGAGCGACGGGTTCTCATTTGTAACACTGTCTGCAAAACCCGACTTCCTGTTCAGTTCGCAGTCGCTCAATGATCGTGGCAACCGTCAAAAGAGACCACTTTTCTTTGCGCCATTCCTAAAGTATAGTTCTAAGGTTCAGAACTAAATTCTATGTATAAGAACAATTATGTTCTTTTTCATACTTATTGGACAAATTATCATAAGGTTTTTTATAAGACTTTGTAGGAAATAGAACACCTCAATTTTAGTTTTTTCAAAATACTTCATTATTGTATTGATTTGATTTAAAAATAATAACTTTTTTCAAAACATTTCAGATTAACTAAACAACCAAATAGTAAGATTTATAATTTGTGTAATTTATTAAAAAAAAATGCAGTAAACCAAAAACGGGGTTTTTCTTTTTCTGCCATGATTCACTTCTTCAATCATCTCTAGCATTGGCCGGGTTTTAGGCCTGACAGCATCTTCTGACCAAAACTTACACTGGAACTGTTTCACAATTCTCTCCTCTTGAGTCTACATTAAATACAAAGCAAACTAGAAGTACTGTAAGCACTGAGCTCACAAAATGATACCCCTACCTCCCTTGTTACTCAGTATTATAATGGCAAAGTCTATGTTTTACAATGGGAGACCCCAGATAATTGTCAAATCAAAATTTAAAAGAGATGCTCAATGACATATAATAATAAAGAATCTGTGAAAATGTCATTCAATTTTATTCGGTTATATAGGAGGAGATGTGGATAAGAAATGGGTACCTCTTAACCTTACATGCATAGAACAGTGAGATTTAGAAATGGTTATACAGTTCTCAGTGTTACCTTGACATTTAACACCATCATTTTGAGAACGCTGTAGGGAGCATTCCCAGCCCCCCTCTCTAACAGCCTGACGGTGATTGGTCCAAAGGTCACTTCGTCTTTATCCACTGGCCAATAGATTCCCACACTCTAATCAACAAGTCAATTATACGTCACAGAACAGTACTGACTGTACAATTTTGACATGTGAGAAATTCATTTGGAAAACGAATCAGATGAACAATTTATATAAAATATGAAGGATTTAACGACACCAATAAACTTCATTTGGAATCTGGACCTGTTTTTACCTTGTCATTCTTGAAAGAATTCATCATGACAATTGTGGACACATCTTGTTCGAGGACAAGAAACCAGAAATCCTGGACAGTGTTGGTCAGGGGCATTTGTGTGAGAGCAAATGAATTCCGACGCTTGAAGCCCTTAATTTAAAATCAGTTTGAATGAATCTCTATTTCAAATATCATAAAGCAGTTAAAATTGTGCTTTTTTGACGTTTTAGCCTGTTAAATTGTATTATTTATTTAGTGAAAATTGTACTTTTTTGTCCATGAAATGATAATTCAATTGAAAAATTGAATTAATTAATATCGGATTGTAGAACTAAATATTATTTTTTGATTTTCAAAGAAAATAAACTTTTGAAAAGAAAGATACCGGTATTTGTATTGCATTAATATAATTATTGTTCCCACTTGAGATAAATATTCTATACTCGTCACCTACAATGACAATTTGGCATGTTAAAATTTTACAAAATAAGTATATCAATAACATCATATTTTAAAATATTTTTTAAAATTTTCTTTTAGTGTATAGTCTCCCTTGCATTAATATGTTCATGCTGTATTTCATCTTGTCCACTTTTTTCTTATATCTCAATATTTGTTTTCCTTCCATATGTTTTGGTTTATAAAATTTGACTCCATGAACCTAAATACCTTTCAAATTATCAATAAATAAACATTTGATTTTTACCAAGTAAAAAAAAAATCTTTTCGCTTACGATTTTCAAATCGATCTTAAATACACTAATACGTTGTATAGTGAACCTACTCGCAAGGACGTTGGTATATCTATTTTTACATCTATTCTCCTTAAGTTTAGCCGTTTGGAATCTTCTGTCGTCGAAAACTGGCGATAACTTGTTGATGACCTGATTTACCATATTGATAAAAGAATTTAATTAAAAGTTCCCTGTGTATTATTTTTATTTTAAATATATTCATAAAACACATACCAAAAAGAAATAATTCTAGATACGGTAATACATATGTGATGGTAAAGGGGGAAAATAAGAAAAGCACTCATGATCATTACATATGTCTTATTGTTAATAACAGAAAGTTAGATCTAAATTTTTAAATAAATCAATATTCTTTGACATTTCACAAAAACTAAATTATTTTTACAACCTGGAATTGTTCCCACAGTCCACTCTTTTTCGTAGAAGGATTTATTTGTTTCAAACTACTGTAATACTCAGGAAACTCAACGGCCGTCACAACACCTTTTCCTTCTGCTAGACCTTTCAATTAGGGCATCGTGCAAGAATACGTACTGCTCCATAAATGAGGGGACATGAAATAAAATAAAATCAAAAACTTCTTCAATTGCAGATTATTCTTCAGTAATGACCGATTTTTGTGGCAATTTACATATTTCTATCTTTATTAGCTTTATTGATTATTAGTGTTCTAGTTTTTATAGAAATATTTTTGCACATAATAAAATACTAGCATCTAAATAAAATTTTATAAGTGTAAAATGAAGCAGTTAAATAATCAGTCTGTCCATCATCAAGTGGTGAAAAAGCTGGCCACGAGTGATTTGTCTTTCGTTCGTACTTGAGAAAAAAGAAGTTATAATTACAATAAGTATTTGTACTTTTCTCTCACTTAAATAGACGTTGTGTATCATCGGATATTGTTGTACAACTTTTAAGTGTAGTTAGTTGTTCAGCTCAACTTCCCCGTTCAACAAGCACATTTGCTGCACATAAATATCAAAGTAGGAAAAAACACTATGTCATCCCACTATACCACTTGATGTTTTGAAAAAAACACACGTAAACAGCGTTTTCAAGAAAAGATGAAACACTGAATAGCATCAGGAAAATATTTTACATCCCAGATTTTGTAAAACCTCAAATACACTTATGTTTTCTGTCAGCTACAGATTTTAAATTTAAAACAAAAAACCCTTGTATGTTCATATCATAAGAAACGACACTGTCACTCCATTATTTAAATGTCATCATACTGTTCTCTTCTTTCCTATTGTATGTTTATTGTTATATTTTGCACATATATGTATATGCCTCTCATTTATGCTATTGCATCATATTGATGATTTAATTATATTTTTCATAACTATGACTGTACCTCATGTACATGTACCACTGATATTGGCGTGTTTGAAATAAATGAACTTGAAATGAACTTGGCCTTATTTAAAGCTCTCTTACGAACTAGAATATATATGTCTATTAACCTTATTGTATATACTATCCGCTTTAAAGTTTCAAATATATATATTATTTATCAAATAAGCACAGAATTTTTCATATTTTTAAATTAAAGTAGGTGTATGGTTAAAGACGCAATGATGCCTTAAAAATAGAAGGCGGTGATTTAAAGGCATAAGAAGAATGTATCTGTCCGATTAGTGCTTGGCATAGGAATCTTTAGTCTTGAGCAGCATAACTCCGACAGAAAATTAGCTTACCGTGCAAACTGATAGAAAAATTGTCTTTAAAATTTTCTCTGAATTAAAAAAAAATATTTTTTAAAAATATATCTTGGATTTAATTTTTCACTAAAATCAGTAAGGACATCCTGTGAATATTTTCTTTTCGATCTGAAATGGAAAAACAGTTGATTCATAATTTACCACTGTTTGTACAACATGCACCCTTTGTTACGCATCCGGGCCACACAATGATGACGTCAAATTTTTCCCCCTCTCCCTGTTTTATAAGAAAGTCCAGTGCCATAAACGTCCCAGTGCGACCAACCCGCCTAAAAAATAAAAATACCGAATTAAT